GCCAACAGCACCTAGGTAACCATATCAGTAATACCAGGTAAGGCTGAGATTACCTAGAAATACCAAATATGGGTATGGATGTAGCAAAGCTAGGACCAATGAGGAAAAAGTAATTACGACTGGGTTGTTTATTGGAGAGGAGACAAGAAAGTGAGGTCAAGTATGGTGAAGGGGAAGATCAAGAAATGGGACAAGGGATAATAAGGGACGCAACTGCTGTAAGCAGGTCTGCCTGGCGGGACCTGCTGGCCAGCCCTGTGCTTGATCGCCACAGCCTAATCAGGGCAATAAACCACATTTGTTGCTCTGACCACATCGCGTAAGTCAAATGTGCTTCTGTGGTCAGGAGAAAGAGGGGAGTGGCAGTCGAGGGGAAGCTTTCCCTTTTGGGTAGGGGAGCACTCGGACAGACAGATCGAGCACCCTCGTGTCAACATGTCAGGACCGTGACAGGCGGGCGAGCATCAGTACCTACCCATCATGTCCTAATGAAGAGGAGAACCAGAACATTTCTCCACAGAAGCCAGAGAAATGTAGGAACCATGGGAAGAAAGAAGGGGCAGGGGTTATGGCAGATGCTTCTTTCAGTAATCTCTGATACTTGACTGATGCTGGGGCTTTCTTTAAAAGCAACTATGCAGGATATAATACGGAAGAATTTACAGCCAAGCTAGACAGTCATCAGATATTTCATGCAAACATGTTCGTATAATATGTGTCTTAGAAAGTAAACAGAAATAAGTAAACATAATGTTTAATTTTAGCAGACTACTACAGCCTCCTCCTTGGGTCAAAATAGGCACCTCTCACCTTCTCTCATATCTTAATCCTGTACAGTTAGTACCATATCTCCTTGTAGTCTGCTCTCCTACTTTGGTTTGTTCTTCTTGTTTCTTAGGTTTATATTTGTCTTGTTACTTTTTATTTTATTCTCTGCCCTGAATAACTGCCTTCTTTCTTTCTCCTATTTACATAAGACTAGACAAGTGTTTGGAGATCTCTGGCCACTGACCGACTGACTACTCCCACTTTCTCTCTCTGGGTTGGAGCTAGAAGGCTGCATATGCCGCGCTCAGGAGTCATTAGAGGCCTGCTTGGCTTGAAAAAACATCCTTCTTTAGTTGGAACAGTGTAACAAAATCTAAATTTCTGGAAACATTCGCCTTTCCAGACCACCTGTCTCTGGAGCTAAGCTGCTTCAAGGATGAGTTCTTGGTAATATAGCATTAGTTTAGTCCCTAGAGTTTCCTACCTACTTAAAGCAGGAAAGCCTTTTTGCACCTAAAAAACGTTTATCATCAGATGCACCATGGCTGGGAATTAGCAGGCAAGTTGCATGTACATTCAGTTTGCAGAGAAACTCTGCAATATTGATAAATATCATGGAATAATACTTTTTGCTTCCTCAGCATTTCTCTCTACATTACCCAAGCAAATCATTTTCATTCAAAATTATAGATGAACTAGCTCTTCCTTATACTAAAAATAACATAAGTAAGTTTTTTGCCTTAATAAGCAATTTCAGTAATAAGCAAAAACTGTATATAATTCTATCTAGAAAATACCTGTCGCGCTCTCTTCTTCATTTGGATTAGTGCTCCAGTTCCAAAACCTGTCCAGAAGGGTTCAGGAAGTTTCCCTTCTAGAGGTTCCTATCAGGTCTGAGGAAGCCCAATCTTGTTTAAATAAGTAGTTATTTGAATAGTATTGAATCCATGGTTGAAACTCAGTAACAGAGAGAAATAGAAAATTAAAGTTTGGACACATTTGTTAACATTTTAATTAGTAGAAGAGTTGAGCAGAGAAAAGGGAATGAAACATACGTTCATCACACATGACATCTCATGGTGTATCGGTAGGCCACAAGAAGGCCTTCATGTTGTGGCTTTTTTCAGATGTATCTTTTAGTGTGCAACTATTGCTCAAGCCTTAATGAAACAGTTAAGTGTGGCGGCTATGGCAGCTTATTCTCAAGAACAATAATGCCTCCTCTGCCATAAGAAATAGATGCTTGTAAGTGGGAATTTATTTTCTTTTAGATTTTTTCCATAGATATTTGATTTATAACATCTCATTCCTCAAACTATGTTTAAAATGCTTGTAAAGCTTTTGTAAACATACTTTTATTGAATTCCATGGGAGAGGAGAGAGCTGATGAAGGTTCACATTAGGCAGGAAAATAAAACAATAAGAAGGATTTTCCTCAAAGAAGTGAGGAATTTAAATAAATGAAATTCATGCCGTGTGACTTCAATGGGAAAGTTTCAGGAGAGAGAACTAATTCCATCAGAAGAGAAGTTGTATATATACTGCAGAATGGTTTCATTGAATCCATCTGTTTTGTTCGTACATGACTAAAACTATGAAGTAAATGAAAAAAGTAAATGAAAGGAGCCAAGTAAATTAATAGTTTTTAGTCCCCAGTGGTGGTAGAGAATATCATCCTCCCCAGATACATAGCACATTCTGTGTTTCAAAAGCAGTTATGTCATTCTTGATGCTCTTGTTAAAAATATTAGCAATAAAGAAAAAATCATTGCATTTAGTCAGCAGCTGATCACTCATTTTGCTCAGACACAGGGCTGTCCTTGTGGACACTGAAGGTCTGGCTTCTATTCTTTGCTCACTAGTCTCATCTGGTTAGTTAAGTTAATAAAGCTTGTGTATTGCTGTTTGCAAACGCCTTCAATTGTGTTTACACAAAACTCAAACCATTCCACTAAATCATAGCTTTAAATTAGATTTGTCTAGTAGCTAATGATAAACGGAAAGCTTGTCCTGATTGACGTGAACTCCCAGATTAATTTCTGCACAACATACCCAATCTTGCTATTTGTTTAGAAAAAAAAAATGTGTTTACACAAAACTCAAACCATTCCACTAAATCATAGCTTTAAATTAGATTTGTCTAGTAGCTAATGATAAACGGAAAGCTTGTCCTGATTGACGTGAACTCCCAGATTAATTTCTGCACAACATACCCAATCTTGCTATTTGTTTAGAAAAAAAAAAAGCATCAAAAAAGATTAGTGACATTATGGCTAAAAAAAATAGCTTTGCATGCATAAATCAGCAGAGTACTCACATAGGTCTGCAGGCAATTCCAGCACCTCTGCTGCTTATACAATTCCCGAATTATAACAGCATGCACAGATCTATGGTGTCCCATTTTGCTAGGCTGGTCTGAAGCTTTGTCCCAGGCAGCAAGGGAACAGACAAGACTCATCCATCTCAGTCTAGGCTTGCTGGGAAAACTCACGATGTATTCACCAGGGAGAAAAGGGGGGACAGCCACACTAAATGGAATAGGATCCTTTCTCCCTCCTAGTTTAGCCTTTGCTTCCAACATCAGGTTTTCAGGCACCCACTAACTGGAAGCCAATATGAACCAAGCTTCCCAAGGTATATGCTTGGTCACTAGCTTCACAGCTAGGTGTGAGTGAACGCAGGCCCCCCAGGGAGTGGTTCTGCACGTTAGGGGTACAGCTGCCATTTATTGATCGCATCATTCTTGGCCTGGTAGATTTTGTTGTTGACTATTCAATATTGGCTAGACTGTTAACTCTCTACCCTAAATTCATTTGGTATTGCATAGTGTTTAAGGTAATTATTTGACCTTTCAGTGTTAAATACAATTCGGAAAGCTGTAAAGTGAAAAATAACCTTAAGACTATATTCTTTGGTTGGTAGATATCAAGCATTAAACCAGAATCTGAAATGACTGTCGACCCTCTGGCTAGCCTACAAAGGTGGGTGCAAGCGTATCACTTTCAGGAATTCGGCATCTCTCTGCATCTTACATCCAAGAAAAAGGAAACTGCCTTGTCATATTGACTTATCCACCACTTAATAAAATACTGAAAGTACTAGGTATGTCATATTGACTTATCCATCATTTAATAAAATACTAAAAGTACCAGGTATGCCAGACTGCTTTCTCTGCACTCTCAAGGAGCAGGCCGAGCCACAGCTTGAGACATTTCCCAACAATGTGTCAAGTGATCCATCTGTCACAACACCAACATTTTCCTCTTTAAGGCAGATCTTTCATCGCACTGGAAATGACAGAGTTGCTGAGCTAATCCAGGACAGCTTACAGTGACATATATTAATTGAAGACCATACCTAAGTGATATCAGATCCTTCTAAATTCTTATTGCAACTGTTGAACACATACTTAGCTTCAGAAAAAGCTGTTCATTTTATGTCGGTTGTGCCAGGCCTTCCAGAAACTTCCAGTGAATCTTTACCTTCACTGTCCTGAGCAATCATTACCCTTTTTTTCCATTTTCCTTGTTCACAGCAACTTAATACTCTCAAAGAAATGGGAAAGAATTTTCTTGTTGGATGCATGATAAATTAAAAACATCTATTTTCCTTGAAAAGGTGAAATACTTGTAATATTCCAAGGGGCATGTGTGTAAGTTCCTGTACAGGAGGTTAAATTTGCCTCAGGAACATAGTAATTTCCCCTACATTTTTATAGCAGCCAAATTATAACAGAAGTGCTGTCAGAAATCTTCCTTTTTAAGCATGAACTGTTTGTGAATTAAGGTCAACAGAAGCCAAGCAAAATTGCCTGAGATGCTTTTCTCTGGGTACAGGGACGTTATTGCAGCCACATTTCTAGTTTAGCTGGACAAAAATTTGTAAAGTCTGTGAAGCCTTTGTGTGACTTAAGAGTGTCAAGGCATGGGACTCCTGTGCAGGGAAAGCTCAGCCGGGCCGAGAGCCAAAACTGAAGAGCTCAGGCAGAAATAAAGATTGATCAGAGGTTAACCAAAGGGGACAGCAGGTAAATGGAAAGAAAAGACAAACAAAATAAGGATGGGGGAAGGGGGAAAGGACTTCCAAAAAGAGCCAGAGTATAAGCAATGTCAGAATTCACTCTTTATCAGTCCTACTGAACCCAAGAACCAGTGTATTCTTCTGACTCATTTACTGACGATGTAAATATTGACTATTTACCTGTATATGCCTTAAGGATTCATGTAACAGAGATGAGTCTTAACCAGAGCTGTCGTGGCAATGCCCCAAAGGCCAGAGCTGGCACCTGTTGGCCAGAAACAGCAGCAGCTCAGGAGCCTTCCTGGGACTATGAGGCAGCAAGGGGTCGCTCGCCGGTGGCCGCTTCTGTCAGCCAAGTAGCTTCTAAGCAGACTCAGAAACTTCAGGAAAATAAGAGAGTTCACAATATATTTTAGGGACAACCTTCCTCTTTAATGTCAAAGGAAACTCTACTGCATAAAATTCCTAAATATTGAGGAGACTGGAGATACAGAAGCTTTAAAAAGGGGCATTCTTCTCCAGGACAGAACTGTAAAAATAAAGGTGCATATGACCTCCTAGGGCTCTTGGAAGAGGAGACATACTGACTATTAGGAGTGCAAACTCAAAAAGTCAAAAGGTAGGAAGCTGCTAGAATTAACATTGGCCACGCAAACTTAATTCTGCCCTCTTGTGTATAGATTATGATGATGTTTTAGTTATGTGATCACACCATGCATTTTCTGTGGTCCCTAGCCTCCCAAAGTGTTTGAGATGCATGGTGGTCCCTGAATGTACAGCTATTCAGCTTCTTGTTTCCTGTTCAGAAATTTGTGTTCATTAAAAAAAGTTCAGAAAATGAAATGCTAGAACCTTCTGAGCATATACGAACAGCTAATTACTTCGCAAGATTTGTGCAAGCTGTAATGGGTAAAGCAAAAAGGTATGCCCGGGATATGAAGGCGGCCTTTCTTGTGAAGTTCAAGAGCTCCCTTTAAAGCATTAGAGCACTAGACTCTTCAGACTGTTACAGGTTTTAAAAAGACAAATGCAATGTATTTTACCTAAGTTGTTCTCAGAAATAGATTATCTCTTTTTGCAAAAAAAGAAATTGGGGGAGGGAGGGATCTGAGGCAGAATTTCAGTATGGATGATGTCAGCCTGGATGGTTTAAGTTGGAAGTAACTAATAAAAGGATTTACATAGAAATCAGGGTGTGGAGGGGGGAGAAGCTAAACCCTTACCTTTAAAGAGCAAAATCAAACCACAAGCCCGCGGTCCGGGAGAGAAAGTTTGGAAGCAGATCTCCAGTTCACCTGACATTTTGCTATTGAGAAGGAGCGCAACTACAGTAGATATGTGAACCAATTTACTGGTGCACTGTGTTGCTGCAAAGATCCTTAACATATCAATTCAATGTCTGTTATTGGCAGTGATAAAGTCATACGGATTATTCCTGAGAGTGAGAGGGAAACGCAGATCCTGAAGGCTGTATTTAACAGACTTAAGGTGAGTCCAGTTTTTTTGATCTTTTTCTGACCTTTGTTGAAGGCTGAAGTGGGTTAACTAACATGCCTTTCATTTTACATGTTACTTCAAGCTATTTTATGCTCTGGAAACAGCTTTGCCCTTTACATTCCTAATTTCCCAATAACATAGCAGCGGAATTAGATTCATCATGCCTAGCAATTTTAAGAGGAAACAATTACTGCCTGAAAGTAGTATAGGTGCCACACTTGCAGATTTGCTTTTTTTGCTGGTATTCCTAGTTGTGTGCTGCATTATCCAGCTGATGGGGTTTTTTTTAAATCCTTAGTTAATTCAAGATGTGAACCGTAGGCAGGAAGAGGCAAAAGGAAGAGGCCTCAGTTTGAGACTTTCTCTGGACAGAATAACTTTCTAGAGACAGCTGTGAGACTCACTAGCACGCTCAGAAACTTAATTCCCAGGCCCTTTCCTGCTGCTATAAATGAAAAGCAGTGGAGCAGGAATTTCTCCTGATCTTACCTGATGCCGCTGTAGTAGTGCAGCACAAGAGCGCTCTGCAGTGCAAAGCTAGGGAAGGCACGGGCGCTCTTTCACAGCGGTATGGCCTATTATCACAGGCGGGAACAAAGAGTACTTGTAACCCAGACCCTTGTGGCACCAAGGGAAGGAACTTACCATGTACTTCCACCAACCTCAGGCATTACGGGAAGGACAAACCTCATTAACAGTCTCCAAAATATAACCTAATCAAAGCAGAACCAGAAAAGTAACAATCAGGCCCCTGTGCTGAGTTTGTTCTTCAAGTTGAACTCGAGTCCCGACTTCTGCTTATTCACCTGTGATAGCTCATGCTCTGCTTGAGCCTGGTGAAAGACAATTGATCTTTCCCTGTAGCAAAACTACCTATGAAGGTAAAGAAGGTAAAGCAGCACAGGCCAAACAAGCTAAAGTCAAATGGCACAGTGAACTCAAGCCTACCCTTTGGTCCAGCGGACCAAAGCTGTCTGGGCATAGACAAAGGGACACTTTGGTAATTTTGGCAGTCCTGGAATACACAGTTTTATGGCACAGCAGAATGCCAGTGGTACCACAGCATTGGGAGCACGCACAAAACTTTTGTGCTGCTCACTGCCTTCAACTTATTTATCAAGTTATTGTGTGGTCTGGGATGAATCTTTCAGTCTCTCTTGTTGAAACCTCAAGTAAACGATTGTTGTTTTCTCTGAGACAGAGAGAAAAAATGAAGGAGCGTATAACTTTATAGTTCAATTGTTAACATGTGGAGTGTAAGCAGATTAGATCTGAGTCCACATACCAAATCAAACAAAGTGGAGATCTTAGAAGAGGTCATCCTCTTTCACAAAAAGCATTCCATCTTTTGGTTATGGTGAAATTTTCTTGCTATCATTTTTTAAGAAAGTAGACAGAGCTACCTGACGTGCCTTGCTGCAGGATGGCTCACTGCTGAGAATATGCCAGCTATCTAGACATAGATGGCTTACTAGCTTTAAGCAGAAAGGCTGAGGCTCTCTCCATTTCTTATTGATGTGTTTAGCTGGTTCCTCGCTCAGCATGCTAGCTTTTGTGAATCCCTTTCTTAAGACATCCAGCCTCTGCATATACTGCATGAGGAATCTCAGTGTTCAACAGATGCTGTGTTCAGACACATGCATTATAGTGCTTTTCATTATAATGTTCAAGTATCTTAGAGAGTGCTGTTGTTAATTTGTTTCTGCAGTGCTTGTTAATATCTCAGTGAAACTTTGGGCCTGGCCAGCAACTGTGAAAGTTAAAGTAATACCCAGAAAAGAATAATCATTTTATTCACAATTAGGAAAAAAATCTAACCGTAAATCCAAGAAATACACATGGAAGCTGGGTTTTGCATTAATTTCTTCCCCTCAGATGCTGGGACATAAAGAGGGAGCACATGTGTTTTTTCCCTTCTCCTCATATTGCAAACCCTGCAAACAAAGCAAAAGGGTTAGTCACCTTCTTGAAACTGTTTCTCATTACAGAGCTCCCTTAGGCTCCCAGAAGGAGATTCCTTCACCCAATTCCAGCAAAGTGGGAGCAGCAGAAACTTGAGTAAATAACTGCATGTTCTAACCCTGAGGACGGGATAATAACATTTTGGCAAAGTGCATTGGAATCTGGCTAATTAATTGGAAAGTGATTGGTTTTGATGAGATAATGAGCTGAGGAGGTTGAAGAGAAGACTAAAAAAACCCAGACTATCGACACCCAGTTTCATGAAAACAGGGTGAGTTTGGCTGCTTTTCAGATCTTAGGACTGTTTCATCTGCAGCTACTTCATTGCCCATCTACATGGGGTCAGAGAGAAAGAGACACCAGGGGAGCTCCCAAGTCATGAGTACCTTTAACTTTACTTCATCATTGTCTTTTCCAGAAAAAAGGCCCAAAGTTTTCCACCCATGAAGGATCACTTTTTAGAAGTGCCAGACACTCACAATATCAGCAAAAGTCAGCAGTGGCTGGCAGTCCCTCAAAAGAATCATGCATTTAGAGTTCTGCAATTTTTGATGTCCCTGTGTTGCTCTTCCCTATCTCTCGCCCCCTCCCTCCCCCCCCAAGCAGGTTTCCACATTGGAAAGTTCACTGACAATGGACTTAGGTTCCATTTTTTTAAACATGAGTCTTTAAGCACTATGCTGATAATGTGCCCAGGAGAAGATTTAAGACAGCTTGCAAACAAAAATTATAGTGCTCAGTAGGTACAAACAAGGTATTGATATAACCCTGTCACTGTCTTAACACGGGTTGCCTGATAAACAACAGAAATACGAATAAGGGTTATGGTAGTATTACACAAATTGCTATAACTTTTGGATTTTTACATTTTAGAGGCAGACAACCAGAAGAGGCATCTCCTTTGAATGCATTTTGGCTTAAGTGGTAAATTAATAGCAACCTATCATATTATTGACATACTGTGTTCCTTAAGAGAAAAAGAAAGTTGGAACCAGAATCCTTTCAAGATAGAAGAGATTTCGCATCTAAACAGCCATCAAATAGCAACAAATGTACTTTTTTCAGGGCAAGTATTTTGGGATTAACGGCAAGAATCTTAATGCTTTCTTTAAAGCTGTTTAAAGATGGCAGCTAAACCTGGATTATGATATGATCTGGTGCTGTTGTCCACCGTTGTCAGGATTAGAAGAGCGAGAAAAGTCAGTGAAAAAAGAAGGTATGTCACAGGGAGTCTGGGGCTAGATTCTGTACAAACAGGTCATCTGCTTGTTCCAGGATTCCCTTGTGTAGAACAGACCATCCATCCTCTGCTCATCGTTGTGATGTGACGTACAGAAGGACAAAGGCAGGTCATGCAGAACCGCAGCAGTGATCTGTGTGGTGGAGCTGGGACCTGGGAGTCCATCCCTCCCAAAAGCTGGAATAGCAGTGTTATCATTAGATCATTCCTCCCAAATCTGTGCCCTTCCTTCTTCAGATCTTTACAGAGAGGTGTTAAAAAGCAGAAACAACATACCCTGAGTGCAGCGTGCTCTGCAAGCTCTGGTGACCAGTCTGCTGTAACTACCATTGGATTGCTCATCATCTGCTTTCCCCGCTGGCCGGGGGAAGGGAACAAATCCCTTCTGTCTCAGGCTCCCTCCTTACTGTGCTGGTGGAGCTTTACTGTCCTTCAGCATCTCACTAAAGAGCGATGTTATGTGTTTATTCCAACTATTTCTTTCTGCCTTTAATCTTCACTTATAAGGCAGTGTCGCTTAGCATTTGCCTCCAGCCTAGCTTTCATAATGCAGAGGATTAAAAGGAAAACTTATATCTGTCCAGCCAAATGAGTTTATCTTACTGAAGGCTTTTAGCATGAAGAAGTCAAAGAAAATCACTGTCATTGTCCTACTGTGGAGCAGTGTCTTCCACTGTCAAGCAGAATAAAAAAAAATGCAAAACTGCCTCTTCTTATAGCCCACTGCTTTGGACAAATCAAAAACAATCAGGAAGAATACTAACATTCACTAGAAAGAGTGGTAATGTATCTTTGTATTTATTTTGTTTTAGCTGCCTATTTCTTAAGGACAGTTCTTACCATTGATTTTTCCTAAGTAGAGATCATCATTTAAAGTGTGTTCTATCATCTTCCTTCTTTTTGTGGCCTGCTAAACTACAGAGATCTCTTCTACCACTAGGGGCACTTTTTTTTATAGGCAATAACGTTAATGAGCCCGTTGCTGGCAGATTAGTTTACAGAAAACACATGCCAGGTAACATTTCAAAAATTGCCTACATAGGAAAGTAAGGGGAAGGTACCAATCTGCCATGTAGTTGTATAATTGAACTAGCTGTTGTTGCCTCACTTGATTTGGTGAAAATAGACAGACCCTAGCGAAGTGGGGAAAGAAGGGGAGAGCTTACCTTTTGCCATTCTCAAGCCAGTGCTGCAGACATCACCAAGCTGCATGTTCCATCACTTCTGTGAAGAGGACTGGGCACAGAAGGAGTACTTTCATGAGCATGTATTTATGGAAACCTATACTGAAAATTCCTAAAAAGATGATCTTGGAATGTCTTATATGCCTTAATGTGCTTAAACTGTCTCAGGAAATGCTCTTGCTAATTAATCTGGGCAGGAATGGTGATCTAGTTGCAGTGTGTCTACAAAGCTCATTCAAGAAGCTGGATGAACACCCCAGCACTTAGTCCACGTAGAAACCTTTTGATCTCAGTCAGGACTGCTCTGCTGTCAGTGCCTGAGCTGTAAGGCTAACTCATACATATTTACAGAAAATGTAGACACTTCAGATATTTTAAATTTAGTAGCTCAAGCTCCTTAGGACAGATATCTGCTTTTCTGGAAAAAAAAAAAGTACATTAAGTGCCTAGTATACTAATCCCTGAAACCTGCCTGTAGCGTAGAGACTCTGCTACAGTACAAATGCTATTGTCTTTAATGAGTGAATAATGCATAATGAATCTTTCATTCCACACATTAAACTTTTGGTTCATGAATTGCCCAAAGGCAATTCGCATTAGTCATA